TTCACATCGAATGATGAGCTGTGAAAAATGCCAGGGAATTTGATCCTTATGTATTAGCACTGTCGACTGATATTTTATGGCAGACTTTTGTGCCCTGAAAATATTTGTCAGTCGACTTTTAATTTTTCATGTTTATGGATAGAGCAGATCAATAATGCAAAGAATCAAAAACATTTTGAAAATCATGTATATTGCCCACGGAATAATTAAAATCCTCACCACCACCTACTTTTAACTTACCTTAAAATATAGAACTTAATTTCCATTCCCTGAGCACACCTCAACTGAAGGGGAAAGAATGAGGCCAGATCCAATCTGGTTGCCATGGTGGCAGTATAACTATCCATTTTAAACATGGCATCTAGCAGAGCAAGGATTTTAAAAATGGAAAGGTTTACTCTAAACACAGTGCTCTACTGTCCAAATCAGACTTGCAGTAACTCAGTGTCTAGTGTGCCATCTGCCCCTTTGGCCATAGTTGATGCCAATTGGGTCTGTTTCCCCCGGGGCCAAACTGTTTCTCAAGTCACATCTGTGTTGCAAGAAGAAAGCCATGCCGCCTGTCCTCATTGCTGCTCTGGTTCGGGACTTTCTCTTATCTTTTCCATCTGTGCTTAAGGCATAGTCAATTACTGTTGCTTGCAACTAAAAGATGCTTAAATACAATAAAGGAAACAAATATTTATCAAGCAATTTCTTATGCAAAATAAACAAACTTGGGGAGATAACAAACCATTTCTAAGCATCTTTGTAAATGGATAAATTATTAATAAACCCCATAAACAATTGTTTTTATATTAGAAAATTAGAAAATTTTATTAGATAATCTTGTATTAGGTGATCAAAATCTAACCAAATTCAATTTCTCAAATATTAATCATTTAGAAATATTGCATTTCTAATGGCCTATATATTTATTATAGAAAATTTTCTTCATACAAACCAATTTGAAATTTCATTTTAGATAGAATTATAGAATGTTTAGAAGTTAGAAAAAGTCTTATTTTTCTATGTCAGTTTTTAGATTTACTCAACACTTCATTGAAGGCCTATGGCTTTCCATGAAGAGCTACTCTATTGCCTGCATGAGACTAGGCCCATAAGTGAAACAGCAGTAGGACAGGCACTGCCCTGGAGCAGTGGTACCGGAATCTGGCTCCAGAGCCCCACCACTAACTTGCTGGGTGACTTCATCAGCCTCAGTTTCTTCACCTACACATATAAGAAAGTGAACTAATTTTCTGTCTGCTCGAATTCAATCTAAGAGGTAACAAGTTTAATCAACTTTGATTGCTGCTGCAAATAAGAACTCTACTTCTTCTGTGTTGTACAAAGAGAAACAGAATCATATATAAAAAAGAAGCTGCAAATTTACTCCTCATGCAGGATGAAAGAGGAAGTGACTACTTTAAGGGTGGATTTGACTCTAGCTGTAAAAAATCTTAATTCCATTTTCCAGAACACATCTGTTAATGATCATAACCAAAATTAACCAAAAATATTACTCAAATCATTATTTGTATGGTGTTCAGTATTGATACAGTACTGCCATGCATTAGCTGGGTTGGTCCTCTTGACTTGAGATACATATTACCTCTGGCCTTATTTTGGCTATGAGCACACCAAGCTGAGAAAAGTGGCTTCCCAAGGTTAGACTGTACGTGGTAAACTAGTACCGATTTAAACCCTCTGATTTCAAATTTCATGTTAATTCTAGGACAGCACTCAGTGCCTAGTAAATTACTTAAAACCCTCTTGGTTAAATACAATTCTGAAATTTATTATAGGGAAATACAAGAAGCACACTGACAGTGCACTTGTTCACCTGGAGGAAAAGCAGAGGCATACACTATACTCAGTAGCACAGGTCTTTCATTCAGGTAAAAAGCCCAGCAGTGAAGACTCGAGGTTCTAACTGCCCTGGGCTCCTATTCCAACTCAACTCTGAGTTTCTTACAGCTTCTTCAGTTTTCTGTCATAAAACGAGGGTAATTCCCTATCTTACAGAGCAGTAAGACAGAGACAAGATCACTGTAGACACTTAGCTTTGCTCCTGGTATCAATTAACCCATTTCACGTTTGCCTCGAGAATACTTACCTGTGGCACTTGTGGCTGCAGCGTTTGCATAACTCGTGGATTACAATCCTAACCTTATTCCCAAAGTTTCCAAGAAATATCTCGCTTTTATTATTTTCGCATCGCTCTAGTATATCAACAGTCTTTGGAAACAAATGACATCATTCTATTTATAGTATTGTTATTAGTAGTGGTATTTCCAGTTACAAAATACAGTAATTCTCTATTGCTGAAAATGTCAAATCCTAGAAAACAAAGCATTCTTATGTGATGTTAACATCATTCTCGAACAGTTGAAGACTAATTCAATGAATCCACTTTACGTATACATTTTTGTTACATTAGGATTAGAGAGAAGTTTAGAAGTAACTCCGAGGACAGTTTTTATATTTTATTTTCACACTGAAAACCAGTCAGATTTGAAGATGTTTGTGTAAAACTAACGCTACGAGCTGCACTTTTTTCTAAACGGGAAATGGGTTAATATGGGCCAACAGTGCCAGATCCTGCCACTAGGTGGGTCTCCTGGTGCAGGATGGTGCTAAGAACATACAGGTTTTGCAGCCAAGTGTGGGATGGGTGGCCTTGTGTGAATCACGTCCCAAGTCTACCTCCCGAAATCCCTAGAACTCACCTGGGTCTTAGCATCCTCATCGGGAACACTAATATCATGGAAGTGTTGTTTTAAAGATTTAACGTATACAAAGAACCTAGCACAGTACTAGAACATGGCAAACAATTAATGACAGCTGTTACTTCTATATATCAGTGATGCTGAATAATTTTATTTAAAACTGACTTGCTTAAACAAAAACATTTTCTTGTTTAATAGAAAAACTCTGGTTCAACGAAGCACTGAAGAGCACAAATTAAGATTTAACCTGTTACTGTTTGCACTGACTTCTTTTTAAGTAGAGATTTTAAACTGAGAAAACATCAACTCCATCTTTATGAGCAAAAATCAGGTAATACAAAGTTTTGAGGCAAGTGACCTAATGTTTTTAACCCAGTTAAAACTATGCATTTGTTGTCATCCTTTTTGGGGGTGAGGGACATAGCACACTAATTGGTCTGTGAGGAAAAAAACTGAAGTTAAGCCATAATAAACTAGCAATTTCTCCAGATTAAACAAATCCAAAAGTCTACCTCCCAAACTCCCTAAACCCACCTGGACCCCAAGATTAAAAATAAATGGATTACAAGCTAAAACAGAATGGGAGACAGCCGATATCCACAAAATCTTGTTCTATACATGCCAGCGATTAAAAATAATCATAAGTTACTTTAGCTAGAGCAATGGAGAAAAGCTAGATCACCCGCACAAGCAGTCTTTAAAAGTGCATAGGCAAAAAGTTAGTAATTTTGCCTACTGAAGTTTTAATATCTTAGTACCTTTTACCTAGAACACTGAACATGATAAAAAAAGGACATTTCAAGTAAATATCTATTCTTTCTAAAATAAATATATAGTAATAACAAAATGGCTTTTACTTTGGTAAATTACTTCAGCACTTGCAACCACTGATAGTCTCAAGTACTCCGACAACCACAATAAAATGTCCAAGTCACTGGAAGACATATCCATGTGGGTGGCCAGTGGATCCTGTCACTGCAATATCCCTTCTCAGGACTCCAAGTACACCTTCCTCCATGCCCCTTGCCCCAGGAATGTCATGCCTTCCTCCATGCCCCTTGCCCCAGGAATGTCATGCCGTGGCTGCTCGACACACATTAGTTAATTGAATGAACCAAGTTTCTTTAGTCTAGTTTAGAACAAAGTATTACATTTGAATGAAAACATTTTAGACCCTTTATCTGAACTGTAATAACTTGGTTATTAAATATAAGGAACTGGTGGTTGCCAGAGGCAGGGGGAGAGGGTAGGCAAAATGGGTGAATGTCAAAAGAATCATTATGTTGTACACCTGAAACTAATAGCTAATGTCGATTATACTTCAATTTAAAAAATTAATAAAAAGTCAAGCAGGTGTTCTACATTAGCTTTCCACTAATCTATTTTCAAAAAGAATTCAGTCTCATGTTCAGCACTCCCCCAAGGTTACCTGGATCCTCCAATTCTAATTATGATCTAAACCCTAAATCTTGATGTTCTAAGTACTTACCTATGAATTTTTTACTGTCCAAGAATATTAATTTAAAAGACTGCCAAATTAAACAAAATCTGCCTCTAGATGTTCCACATTTTCAGAAAAAAAAAAAAATGCTAGCCATTTTTCCTTATTGGAAACTCCATTAAAGGTAGGGAAAAAATATCCAGCATTTGATAAACAATATCCCAGTCTCTTATTTACTTAACCTCATTTATTTCTCAGAACCATCCCATACGAAACAACTATTTTAAAAGTGAAAAACCATGGATAAGAATTAAGCAAATTTATTCAAGATCAAACCCCTAAGAGCCAAGTGACCTAATGTTTTCAGTTTCAAATACAGCAAGGTTTGGCCTCTGTGCTCACTTCTCTCCACTATAGCTGGCTAAACCGAAATTAAATAAATATAAAAAAATTTGGTACTGGCAACTGTGTTCTATTCAATCTTCATTCCCATAACTTCATTTTCATTATGAGCTCTAATTTAGAAGTGAAAAACTAGCCAACAGAATTTTATATCAGTAAAGATTCTTTTAAAACTACTTTTGTTGCCATTGGATTATCAAGCATTTTATTTAACTTATTTTCATATAGTAAACTTTTTATTATTTGTCTAGGTAAATACTATCAAATTTCAACACTCAAGATTCTTAAATGTTTGAGAGTTTTGTTGAAAAGTAAATGCCTATTTGTAGGTATTGATATACAGAAAGTTCACATTTTAATCTATGACCCAGTACAGTTTGCATTCCTCTACCAAACAGCACTCCATAACCAGAAATTCAATGTAAAACAGGGATTTATGTCCAGCACAGTTTTCGATAATTGTTTATGAAGTAAACAATCAAAAGCAACTTATTGTTTTACTAATAAATAAATGCCATATAGCTCCTTATATGCTACAGTGGTTACTCAAGTCTTCCTTGAGGCAGCTTCAGAGAATACAAAACAAACTATGGAAAGAAACATTTTCTGAAACATATGGTTCGAGTGAACCATAAATCGCTTAGAAATGGAAATTCTGTTGACCTTTTCAATATGTGGGCAGTTAAGAACATAGGTTATCATACAAGAAATTAGTCTAAATAAGAGATCAGCAAACTTCTGCATAGGGCACAATAAATAATTCCAGCTTTGTGGGTCATATGGCCTCTTTCACAACCACTCAATTCTGCCATTGTACAAAAACAGCCACAGACAATGCGTAAGTAAATGAGCATGGCTGTGTGCCAATAAAACTTTATTTCTGGACACTAAAATTTGAATTTCATATAATTTTCATGTGTCACAAAATAAGGTTCTTCTTTTGACTTTTATTTTTTAACCTTTTAACAAAGTGAAGATGATTCTTGCTCACAGGTAATACAAAAACAGGTGGTGGGCTGGATCTAGCCTGTGGACAATAATTTTCCAAGCCCTGGTTTAATTATATATTCTGCTTTGACATTTATTTGCTGGCAGTTAGGTAACTTCTATTTCATTAAGTGAGAACAATAATACAAAATTTGCTTAAGGCTTTGTCTAATGCTGGTGTACAATTTTGAAGACTAAAATTTAAAAATCAGTTATGTCAAAATTAAATATACTGCTAGAGGAACTGGCTAAGCTTCATTTATTTCTTGATGTCACATCTGTACAGCTCTCATGCACACAGCAGAAAACACACCTTGGTTTCACAACGGCACCTGGCTGCACTTCTGATTATAATACAGCCAAGTCCAAGTTCACTTGGAAATGTACATTTATATACCTTATGTAAATTAAATACAGCTACATTAGGATGATAGCAAAAGCGTGATTTGGAGTTCCAAGACTAGACCACTTCTGTTTAATAAAAAATGTACCCAATCATTCAAAAATGGCCATTTAGGGGAACAGGACAGAATATAAAATGTTTGTCATGTAAAACTTGACCATTTACCTTTTCAAAAAATAATCTTCAAACTTTAAACCTTTTAATCAAATTGTTATACGGACATACATTATTATAGCAAGAAAACAAATTTGCTATGGGCTATATATTTAGCAACTTGGATAATTTTAAAAAATTAGTTAATGTTTTAATAACATTACTTTTATTAAAATAAAACAGTAGCTAAACAAAACCTTTTCTTTCCACGTTTAATGTGTTAGGTTCCAAGTCAACTCCCCTAGTCAAAAAGAAAAATAAAAATCAGTCTGAGACTCACTTGAGTGTTTAATTCAAATCTATATTTGTAGTTTCTAAAATGTTGATCCACAGACCACTTTGTTGTTACACATGTGTACCAATGAAAACAAAAAGCAAAAAGAACCACTGCCATCCCTACAAAAGGAATGGCTCCCTTTCTAACATTCTTTAAAAATATACATTGTACAGTCCTTGCGCCTCACCAAAGGTGGCGATGTAATAAATACACGGGCTTAGTTCTCCTCACTGTTCAGCGAGGTCCACCACTACCTGTTATAAGCCCTCTCCTTTTTGGATTTCTCCAAGGCTTTGTCCATGGTTTTCTCATTCTCCCCTCGACATTTGGGACAGTACCACTTGCCCTTTGGTTTATGATTCAGTCCTACACAAGAGAAGTGGAACCATTCGATGGGGCACTCGTCATTGTCACAGCCAATCATTTCTCCATAGGAGACCTGATTACACAGACAGTACGTTGGCTCGTTCGGGTCAATGGGAAGGTCTGCAGGCGATGCTTCCCTCTCTGCTTTGGCCTTGGAGCGTTTCTTCTTCTTGGAGGCCTTTGCTTTCTTTTCCTTAGGTGTTCCTGAGGTGATGTCATCATGGTCGTGATTATTAGCTGCATTCTCCCGATTCTCGTTGTTGCGCTGTCGCCGGGACCTCTTGTTATTGGGCTTTTCTGCCTGCGTGATTGTCTCGTTTTTGGACTTATCTTGGCTGGCTTTGCCACTGTGGCCAGTGGTGTCATTGACCTCTTGATGTGCCTCAAAGAGTTCCACATGACTGTCCACCTGCCTGGTCCGGTTCTCCACCAGCTCCACCATTTGACTCACAATCTGGATCTTCTCATCCCCCAGCTCCTGACTCCGAATCAGGGCTCTCTGAATGCAGTGCAACACTCGCCTCTTCTGGGTGCCATCCGTCTCACGTTTAAACTTCTCATAATACTCATCCAGTTCCTTCAGGATTTCTGCAAAGGAAAAAATAAGCATTATACCCATGCTATAAACACTAATGAGCCTTTTATTTAATTCTTTAGTCTATGAAAATGTAATTGCAAAGGAAAATAGTCAATGCAAGGGCTTCCTAGTATAAAAATATTATAACTTGTACGCCTTTCAGACTTTTTTTTTCCAGTTGAAAAAAATCCCTGGAACTAAATACAAATGCCAACACAGTTCTCATTTAGCAAAGTGACACTTAAAGCTTCCCTAAGGGGCTCTCTGTGCATTCAGAAACAGGAGTAACAAATGCTCCTGTGTTGGGTAATTAAGGGGAAAAATTTGAATTTAGGTGAAGTGCTGGGGCCCAAACTTTATTTTCAATAAAATTAATGATTATGTTCTATATTTCCACTGTTTTCATTCACACATTTTCTAATAATTTAAAGGACTTTATTCTCTTTATTTTAAGGTACTAATGTCTAGAATACTCTATGAAATTATAGATATGTATACAGATACTACTTATGACTCAGAGCCTTGGTTTATCAGTCATATCATTTTCATCCTAGCATGTTATTCCTAGGATTACTGAAAACAAAATGGTTTGTCACAATAATCCAGACAACCCAGTTTTGCTTAAAAACAAAGGTGACAGATTTTGTTTTTGCATCTATTGTTAAAAGGACATTTATATCTATAGAAGTCAACAGATTGTAAAACATTACAAAATATAAATTAAAAACCTTCAATACTAAATTTAAACCTCCTTGGACAGGTTAGTAGACAGTATGTGATTTTAAAATGTAATTTGGCAAATGTAATTAGGCAATTTCTCAAGAAATAAAAGCTGTTAAAATAATCTGATTGAAATAAGACAAGTAAATATTCTTGCCAAAAGCCTAAGTACAGATAGAAATTCCCAGTAATTTTCTCCAAACAGTAACTATAAAATTAAACAATGTCAGACTTTTCTCCTGAAACCCTTTTGCAGTCTCTCAAAATAAGGTAATTCTACTCTCCAATTAGGAAGTGTGTGGTCTGATGCAATGTATATATATAAAACGTGGCCTTCTTCTCTTTCAGACCTTATCTCCAAATAGTTATAAGGCATAAACCTAACTCCAGCATAAACATATAAACTTAGGCCAACAGTGAATCTAAATAAAAGCATTATTTTCCAGGCTATATCTTTACACTAAAGATAGCTCTAAAGATATTTCCTAGAGCAGTGGTCCCCAACCTTTTTGGCAGCAGGGATCAGTGCTCCTATGGCAATCTAATGCCTGATGATCTGAGGTGGAGCTGAGGCGGTGATGCTAGTACTGGGGAGTGGCTGCAAATCCAGATGAAGCTTGCCCACCACTCACCTCTTGCTGTGCGGCCCAGTTCCTATCAGGCCACAGACCGGTACTGGGGCTAGGGACCCCTGTCCTAGAGGAACAATGTAGACTGTCTTCCACCAGAAATGAGGAATGCCATAGTTTCATAATCTCTTAGAGTAATTAATTCTAAAAATAAATAGCTGTGCTCAACTCAATTTAAGTTCTATTTCATAGATGTTAAAATAAGTTTCTGACATTTATTTGTTAAATGAATTACATGTTACGAAACTATCATTTGGTTTAATAAGTAGCCAAATTTCTAAAGACAATTTTAGCATTTTACAGAAAAGAGATCCATTCTATCACATGGCTAATCTTAAAATTTAATAAACATGGCTTCTTCTATATCACAAGCAAGCTTACATCCATGTGAAGTCTCGCTTGTGGTAAAGAAACTAACATCTCATCACAAAATTACCCAGAATTCTGTTACCTTCACAATGGCATATATTTCTTAAATGCCCCAAACAAAATACTCTATCAACAGTGCCACTTGAGTACAGACATCTGTAAACAGGAACAACACTAGTGCTAACTAGGGAGGCATCTTGCCAGGATACCCGCTTCTTCAGCTTCATCCGCTCAAACTGCTGCTGATCCTTTCTTCTAAAACATTACTGTAGGAAAGCAACAGTACCATGGAAAAAAATATATAAGGATTAGATGAGATTGCTGTAAAATTTAATCTGATCTTATTAGAAATACATCTTTTACGTAAGAGTTGCACTGAAGTTCTTTATGAAGCCAACTTTCATAGTGGATGAGTATTTAAAATACAATTCTTGAAAAATAACTCAAAAATAATTTTGAATTCAATAATTCAAAAGTAACCCCAAATACCATTTAAAGTTAATTGTAAACTAATTATAACCCATCCTTGTGAATTAATCTCCAATTAATGCATACTAAGCCAAAGACCAAGTTTGACTTGCAACGTAGTTCTTTAAAAACAAAAGCTTAATGTTTTAGAAGCACACTTCATATCTCAGCATTTACAGTAAGTCCAAAGAAATTATGACTATTATCATGACGGTTGTTCAGACTTTACAGCTCACTCAACGGCACCGGCTTCAGTAAATGCCGGGGTTGGGGCTGAGATTGAGTTTCTCCGCAGGAGCCAAATAAGCACCGTTCTGAACAGCAAAACAGGCTTCTTCACAGTAATGCAAGACGATAGCAACTTTAAGAGGTACAAGTATTTTTGACATTTTGAAATTTCCAAAAAGTGCTAATGAAGAGTGCCGGTGACAAGGAATTCCACAAAGATAGAAATCTTTGAATTTAAATACCACCCCCCCCTTTTAACTTTACCCGAGCCATTCCGGGGCACCGACCACCAAGAGCCGCCGGCCTCGGGTCACTCACGCTTCTCCCGCTCCTTGTGGCCGCTGGCCTGCCGTGGATCCCTGAAGCCACGACAGGAGGCCTGAGCAGCACTCTCGGTAGTGCCGGCACTATGGCTCGCCAGCCTCGACCAAGGCCCCTGGGGACCGCCATTGCTCCGCGACCGGAAGTGGCCGGTCTCGGATCCTTGAGGACCGGGGGGCGGGACAAGGTCCAGCCATCGGCTAATGGGGAGGCACCTTGCAGTAGACACGCCCCGCCCCGGGAACAGCCGCCTACGGGGGTCGCCGGGCTGGAGGGTGGAGGCCAGGCGGGCCGCCAATCACAGAGCAGGGCAAGAGAACACAGCCCATCCAGCAGCTACAATAGCCAATCCAAGGCTGAAAGCCGGCGACCCGAAGACATTCAAATCAACTCGACCTCCTCCCTCCTCCCCGCCCCTCTACGAAAGAGAAAAAAAGAAGGCCGCGGAAACAGAGACTCGTGTCAGTCACTGCATAAGGCCCGCCCTCATCCGGCCCAGCAACCAATAGCTCAGCAGCAGACTGATAAGGACATTCCATGGGGACGCCATAGCCAATCATAAAGAGGCTGAAGCGGGACATTCGCAATATGCTAATGAGTCTCCTATAAATGTCGCTGCGAAAGCGAGTCCGGGGTAGAGCGCGCAGGGGCGCCTTGCCGGCGGTGTCTTTTTGTGCATTTCGCGTCGAGCGGTGGCTTTCCGCCTTCCCCCCCACCTTCCGTTTCCCTGCTGCGCAGCCCTGTAAACATTAGTAAACTCCGAGTGACGACCTACGTTCCGGACAGAGCCCCCAGTACAGTGCCTGACCTGGCAGTAAAGTTTCCCTAACAGCCAACAATTCCCAGCGGACACGAGCCCTCCGCTTCTCAGGCACTCTGGGCAGCAGGAGCTGTAGAGAACAACCCACAGGTTCTCTCCCCTGCCATGTTACTCTGCAAGCCCATAGTCTCTGCACGCGCCCCCCAAGCATAGCACAGACGGGCGACTTCCTCGCCTCATCCTTCCCTCCCTTCTCCCTTTTCCCATCGCACGCACGGAATAAAGCCCTGGCCCTCCTCAAACTACACTCGGCCGCATCGCCCCCCACTCAGTGTCCAGCGCTGCGGGATGACCCGGGAGCTGGGCGGCGGCGACCGGGGCTACACCGCGCGTAGTACCGACCCTGGACTTTATATAACACTCAGATTCGGGACTGGGTGGGGGTGGCTCCGGGGATGGCGAGCAGGGCCAGCGGACCCCTCGCCCGCAGCACCCACCCAGCAGCCCTGACCGCAGCCGGGTCCCTGCGCCCCCAAACCTTAGCGACCGCAGTACATCCCTCCTCCGGCGCCTTAGCCTGCGCCCCCTCCCCCGCAGCACCCCGCCTCGTCACTTCACTACAAAGAGCGCTTTGCTCGCGCAGCCTGGCATTGAGACCTCTCGTTTCTCCTTCCTCCTCCGTGTCCGGGCTTCGCGCACAAGGACCTTGGCGAATCAAAGACGCTCCAGACCTTTTGTTCCTGCTGGTCCAGGGCCACCGCCGCGGGCCCATGGCTCCCCAGCCGGGGAACAGGACGGCCCGCGGCCCCGCGGCGCCCTGCGC